GGGCAGGGCGGGGTGCGGTGGGGCCTAGGCCGCGGGGCGCCGGGGCGTGGTTGTCGCCGCGCTCCGCCGCGCACACGCCGGGCCGACAGCCCGGGTGTTAATTACCCGCAGACAGTGACCCGGAAGGTGCCTGCCGCACCAGCAGGCCGCACCTGATGTCCGCTCTACACTAGACGTGTAGGTGTCGGTCGGTGGACGCGGCGGCAGCGTGTTGCGGGTTTGCCTTCACATCTCCGTTCGGTTCTAGCCGTAACGTACCGGGTGTTTCATAAAAGACACAGGTGCGGGCGGGTTTGCCTACCCGCTCTGCACGTAAGGCCATGCACCGTAGGCCCTTGGGTAGGCAAACCCGCCCGCGCACCTGTGTCTTTTATGAAACACCCGGTACGTTACCATGGATCGCAAACCCGTCACAGCTTCTCTTTCTTTATTTCTCAATTTCCTTTTTCTTCTTCTCCATTTCTTTATTTCTCACGATATCCCCCCCCCCTCTTTTCCCTTTTCCGCTGAGTCCACTCGGGCGGCTGGGCTGCAAAACGAATCGTGTGTCGGGCCGCCACGCCCCGCCACGCCGACACGGTTACGACAACGTCGCTCTGGTTCCATTCATAAATACGTGGCGACGGAAATAGCCGGGCGTGGCGCGGCACAGCGCGGGAGAGCGGGGCGCGCGGGCCTGAGGGACAGGTGCGGCGGGGTGGACGGACACATCATACAGCCGCCCGACGATAAATCATCGCCAAACGAAAGTGGGGAGTGGATCTAATGGAGGCGGCCGGCGACCCGGTCTAATGAGAAACTGTAGCGCGGGGCGCGTGCCACGCGCGCACATACAAGGGCTCAGCAGGAAAATTGCTCACTTTCAATTTCGTGACTAGCAATTACTTGAATACTGAAAAGTTTACAACAACCTTCCAGAAAGTACGCCCGTCATTTTGACGTTACGAAACTCGCGAAACTGCAAAGTGGAGACTGTCCAAGCCACTCCAAGCTCTCATAGCGCCTGGTAGGTAGGCAACATGTTGCATGCAGTGCATGCGTGTACTGCGGGGTGGCCTACCCCAACTATCGCAGGCGCCGATCTCCCGTAGTTTGACAAGTAAATTTTTTTAAAAAGGGACGTTTTTTCTGGACGACTTAGAAATGCTTATTTCCCGAGTTGGCCATGCGGCTGGGGGCTCTTGACTTTGTTGAAATTTACTGTTGAACACTTTTCAGTATTCAAATTTCCAGTCCAAAAGCTAAAAGTCGGCTAAAAGTGTGCACCCTGGATTTGAGCACTACACTGTTAAAACCTCACAAAAGCTGAGTTTTCAGGATGTAACACTGCACTAAGTGGTTATACACTTTTGCCTTGAGGAAACACGTGTCTACGTGCCGCACTCAGCCCTAGCGCACGCGCCTCTGGTCTCAGGGAGAATGTGAGCGGGCCGGTGAATGCAATACAAGACCAGAGAGGCAAACCTCCTCACTCGGGGACACGAGTAGCAGCGGCAGTTGCAGCAGCCAGCCAGTTCGCCCTTTTCTTGTTTGGTCGTCAGGAAAGAATAAGTACAGGAAGGAGAAGGAAGAGCGGGAGGAAAGGGGTGGCCTCAGTGGAAGAAGGGAAACTTAAACTTGGTAGAGGAAAGCAAATTGCTCTTTTATTCGCGAGGATCGGCCTTTGTGTGCGGCGGATACTTTTGTTTACTCGCCTTCATACTAGACTCCGCACTTCGGCGACAGGATTAAAGGGGCCGTTGGAGGGTAATTCAGAGGCAGGTCAGCTCAACCGCGGCACGGCGCGGCCAACAGAGTAGCTTTACTAACAACAGCACCCAGTTTCTGGTTTAGGAAGTTGTCTGACGCAGCCGCGACAAGGCGACGGGTTATACAACAAATTTATGGTTGGGCGAGACAAATATGTCTTGCGAGAAACCGTTTGATACAGCAAACCCATTTCATTAGGAAACGAGTTTTATAGACTTGATGGGAAATGTTTAAGGAACAAAACGGATTCGCCTATTTTCATTATTTCCGACGGGTTCCAAGCGCGAGAGACAAGCAACCAAAATAAAGGATTAACAAGTTCTGAAAGAGCGGACAAAGCGTGAGGCCGAGCCGGGTCGGCCGCGCGGGCGAGAAGGTTCGCGTAATTCTATCAAAGTAGCCCGCTGTCTGGAACACAAGGCACCTAACGTAGGGCCCCGTGCGTTAACATTATGCACGGGGTAGCTGAGCGAAGTGCATGAAAGTAACAGAAGACGTAAACAATATAGAACAAAACTAAAACGAATAAGGGTCCGCCTAGTAGGTAGGCAACCGGCTCT